ATTTACTCCGTAGTATTTAATTCTTTATAATCTGTCGATGCTTGACTACTGGATGAGTTGAATCTTATATAACTTGGATTCGTTGGGGATAAAAATGTCATAATTTTGTTTGTTAGACGGGAATCTAGTAGTCAATCCTCTACATGACCCAAATTGGTTAATCATTTACACGAATTAGACAGTTATCTTAGTCCACAATGGAGCACACCTTAAAGAACTCATCGTTGAAGATGATTGAAATCTTTAACCGAAACGTCCGGAACTTGCAATCAAGAATTGTATTTGAACAATTATATTAGATTGACACGCACTAATAACTGCGTTTGACTCTCACAACCTAACCTTTTATTTTTACTAAAAATATCTTGCCTCAATACATGCCTCAGTGGTCGAACTAGTAAGACGCTCGCCTAGAGTGTAGAGGGAAGTCCAGGTACAAACCCTGGCTGAGGTAATATTTTTCGCAATAAATTTCTCTAATTAGAATTTGCCAGTTGCGTCGTTTAGCAGATAGATTTCTAGGTGTTGCAAAAAATTTTTTTAAATTTGCAACGAAAATTATTTGTAGCTTGCAAAATTTATAGCAGCAACATTCTTTCTAGTAATACCTTCCAAAAAGTTTAGGTTTCGCGATTAAATATTAATCATTCGCATTGTTTGAAAATGAATTGCGATACCATAGCTAGAACAATCTTTGCAAGGAACACAGCCTGTTTGTGTACCACAATAAAACGTTATAATTGATGAGCGCAACAGAAAGACTTTCTTCCTAACATTCGTCAACAGTTGAGATAGAACTTCTGTTTCAGTCATTTAAATCGAATAAATAGCAAACGTATGCAATTTCGCAGTATTGGCTACTCATTTATACATCTCAGTTATTTCTCCGTAGCTAGAAAATTGTTGCTGCAGTTGCAACATCATTCTTTTCAGTGATTCCTCTATAAACGTTCAACGTTCGTGTGTCGCCGCGGAGAGACGCGCCGCGCCGCGCCGCAGCGAACCGATTGGACATCGATGACTTCCGCGAATCGCTCGCGAGAGAAATCGCCCGCGATAAAACCAAGCCGGGCGATTCGGTCATATACACGGCGCGAATCAAAGTACCGTTGAGCGCTCATCCAGACTGGTTGCGCGCGAAGGCAGAAGCCTCCCCTCGTCCGTCGCGATTCCCGCAGACTTCGCCGACAATCATCGCCGGTTGCTCCCAGCATTTAATCACGTTACATCAGTACGACACTCTGACAATCCTATCAAAGTAACGAGGTGCGCGGGTCGGGACATACGTTACGGCGTGGGACTCAAAGTTTCATCGCGATCGATCATCCCTGATTACTCCTCCATACACGGCCCCGCGCGCGCGCGCCGCCGCCGACTATCGACAGACCATGTATTTAAGTTCTTACACACGAGGGCCTCGGCTTCGGGCGCGGATCAAAGGAAACAGCGTGCATTAGCGGTAATCAAGCATTTACCGTCACAGGCTAAACCTCGGCCGTCACATTCGGCACGCATCGCCGATGGCCAGAGCTTCTATGACTTACTGTTTTTCGCATCAGATCGAAACTTCAAATTGGCCATTTATAACTGTTGGGCTCGCTTTCACCGCAGCGTTCGCTTAACTTTAATCGTAGTTTAACTCATTCTCTTTCTAAGGCCCGGGTTCTCCAACGTGGCTTAACTTTAACCTCAGTTTAACTCATTCTTGATCTGTTTCTAGGGAGACAGTTAAGAGACAAAGGATGAGTTCAATTAAGGTTGAAGTTAGACGACGTTGGAGAAACCGGGCCTGACAATTCCGTAAATTATCTTGAAAAACATTTACATCGTTTCTTGATCGTATTTGTAAATTGATGAATGAACTTGGGAAGAAATAGATGAAAGACTGACGAATGTTACGTAAATTTATAAACGTATAGCCATACGTCTAATCCTCGAGTCTATAAATGATTTTAATTCAGTTAATCTGTCACCCGAATCGCAGCGTGAGAATCGAAACGAGAATGCACCGCGGTGCGAGAGGAATAAACAAAAATGTTATTGCAAATAATCCGTGTGCGAATCTACCACAGGAATCCGAAAAATTACAAAAATTACTGTCGATTATCTCATATTATTGAGAACATTGCTGAAAAACATTCGATATTCGTTCGAATATCGAGCATTCCTGGACATTCTGGGGAATTATCAACCATTCGTTCTCTCGCGTAGTAATTTTTCAATACTAAACATATTTCCAAAACGGGAGCTGCAGGTTGCGGAAAAGAGATGAATATCGAGGTCCCTTCTGTCGCAGAAAGAGTGGACGTGACGACGAGAGCGGCATGAGAGAACGAGCGAATCTAGTAGCGAATTCGATTGCTTGCACCAGTGCCTACTGAATGCATACTAAGACTTTGTTTACAGTCAATTCTTACATTTAAAGATCGTCTTAAGTACCTTTTGAAATATTTTTCATTTAAAAAGATGGTCTGTTTAGCGTTCATACGGATAATTTTTTTGATATAGTATTTCGACTAAATACTCTTTGAACATATATTTAAGACAAAGTTAAATATTATATTAAGACTCTGTGTTATGTCCGAAAAGAAACCGTGCGCGCAGGACACGTTGAAAAACGTTAGATAGCCTTTCAGGAGATCAAAACGACGGAGAGCGGATTGCCCTTCGGAAACGTACGTCAGATACATGTTATTATGTATGAACAGGAGTAACGATCCGCGGTAAAGTTGGCGAGGCAATTCGGTCCCGACTGACTTTTTGCGGATTGTCATTAGCTTTACGATCGCGCCAACGTCGCCGATTTACATGAGCCGCACGGTAATAGATCGCGAGGGAAGAAGGTGACGATAAATTTCATATTCTACTGCCGGTAGATTCACGGCGCTGTCTCGCCAGCGGAACAGACCTGTAATTTAATGCATGTTTTGCGAGACGTCCCTTTATGCACTTCCTGGGACACGTCCGTACGGCCAATCAGGTTTTCACGGGAGACGAGAGACGAGCGCGTCTCATTACTGCAGTTGTTAGGCCATTTGTTCCATCTTAATGTAACTTCTTTTTGTGCCTCGCGCAATACAGTATGAAAGCTTGATTGAGTACAGCCATAGGTACGCTTATGGCCTAACACCCGGTTGATTAAAAGAGCGAATTATTGCAAATAAATATCAAAAGTACGCGCCGTGGCGTTCCAGTGCTGTTTTCCCATTTTTTCCCCCAGAGTTTATCTTCAGCGAAATTAATTCCAAGGAACATATGCAAAACTATTTTGCGGGGCAAATAATGTTTGAAAAAAAAAGCGATCTATCGAAGCTCTTCTGTTTCGGGACACCGTCACTTTACACCGATTGTAATAAAAATAGATGTACCGGAATTGCCACACGGTTCTATCTAACTATTCTTGCCGATAGTCTGACAGGAACAATTTAAAAATCGATAACGCATAGCATTTGTGGGAAAAAAAAAGAAAAGGAAAAGACATGTTTGCGGTAGTCCGTTGTCGAAGTCGTTTTATTTACGACTTTTCCCATAATTTCGACGCTACGCCCGTAATCTGCGGATTTAAAAAAAACTTGCAAACTCCACGCTGCCGGATGAATTTTCAATATTTCGCTCGAGTATCGGAAGCGGAGCGTTCCATCTCTTTTGTGAGAGGGATGGAGCCGCTAATTCCGCGATACATTCGGCTTTTCGTGAGCATTCATAGACTCGCGGTATAATTACGAGCGAGCGCCAATACATTTGAGTGGTAATCGAAAGTCGGGGATTTGAAGGCTTAAAAACAGTTATCAATATTAATCTAGATACGACGAAAAAAAAAACGAGATGAACGATGCACTTTGAGCGGGAAGTACGGGGGAACAACGCTCGTCGAAAGCTCTCATTTCTTCTTAATAATCGATCCCCTGCATTTGTGTCACCGATCGCACTTTGACGCACCCAGCAAATATTGAAAAAAAAAAACCACGACATCCCTTTTCGCGATTAAAATTTAAATATCGCGCAGGCACGAGCGTTGTATTTTATATTTGAATTCTTTTGCGCCATATAAAATTTTTTTACAAATTTCTAACCGAAAGCTTTCTGCAAATATTCTGGTAGAAATGCGGAAGTCGATTTCGCCGTTTTAGCTCCCAATCAATTTTTACAGCGTCGGTCCCTTTTCGCCGCATTTCATTCGCACAGAACTTTACATACAGGGCAATTATATGTACAACGGAGTCGGGGAGTTACGGAAAACAAAGTGCGGCTCGGCCGAACGTCGTAATTCTGTAACTCACGGAGTTATTCGAAGAGAGAAGTACGAGGGAGATGCGAATCCGCAAATATATACAGGCAGGCCGTAAAAACATGTACAGATCTGTGGACGTCCCACGCTTTAACAATAGTATAAACTAGTGGGTCCACTCTCTGCCGGCTCCTTTGATCTTTCCGGTCCCGATCACGTGGTATTCCGCCATTATTGTGGGCAGCAATCCAGCGGCGTATGTGTTTGTACGTACCACGGTCGTACACACAGATCTGGAAACGACATCGAATTTCGAGTGGTAGGGGATGCCTCTGTTAACGCGTTAGGTTTTCGTTCGCGCTATCGTCACTGTGCTTCGCTGCTGTTGAGGGATATGAGATTTATGCTACTTGTCTCTGTCTCTTACATGATAGCCCTCTATCATAGGGCACTTTGCGGCTGAAAGTCGACGTAAAAACAGGAACGTTAAGAGAGACAACCCCTACCACCATCGTTACCAGACCTGTATGTAAGACCGTGGTACGTACTGTAGTTGTATGTGTGGTAATCGTAGCTGCAATGCCGCACATACAACTTTTCTCTCATTGGTCTGCCCAGAACAATGTCGGATGCGCAGAAGAGATGGGGACGCAAAACGAAAGAAATGACGGAGTGGACCTACTAGTTATATTATGCTTTAACGGCTCTTCGGAGGCGCGTTAAAGAAAAGATGCACGCAATCGGTTGTGGACAAGGAGCGAAGAGAACTTACCTTTAGGCGAAGATCGTTGACGGTCCAGACGCGGCTCGCATAATCGTTGGACGCTCCGAGAATAAGGGTACCCGTCGAGTCGAAGTCCACCGACATCACGCTGGCGTTGCTGCCAGCAAGGATGCCCTTGCTCTCCGACGTGCCTGCAACAGAGAACGTCCGCGTACCGTTACGTAACGATGATTTGAGTCTAATTCTTCGCGTTTACGTGTCCGCATCAATTACTCTGGTCCCCCGCTGCACAGCCGATTCGCTCCATACCTACCTTTCTCTCTCACTTACTCTTCACCTGTACCGTGCGTTATTCTCTGAATATGACTAATTAAATTTATGCCCTGACGGCTTAATTGGCAGCGAGCAAGCCGCACTGCAATCCGAGGGGAGCAAGTTATAAGCACCACAAAGCAGCAGGCGGGGAAAGAGAGAGGGAGAGAGAATGTAGAGATAGAGGCAGAGGAGAGCGATGAAGAAGCGCGCGGAACAAAGCCGAGAAATGGAGAACGCACGTGGATCGAGAATAACAGACCTCGAGCTAAGCGGATATAACCCGTACAATAAGGACGAATGTTTCATCTAATTTGTAACAGAGGGAGGGGCGCGGGGAGGAGGATTACATTCGAGGGGCGTTGCAACATATACGATCGCGGGGGAAGCGATTTCGCGAAGCGGCGGCCCGGCTTTCGGTACGCGTCGCGAGGGTGAGGCCGTAACGACGCGCAAAGTAACCTGTTGATTCGTTAATATGCTTCATTAAGTGGCTCGCGCGGAATCCCTTGAGAAAAAGCGGTGTATCGCGGTCGCCCGCGACGAAGTGGAGACGCGGCGAGATATCGATTCCGGGGCGCGTCGAGAGGACAAAAGGAAATTCCTCCTTGGACATAAATGAGAAGCGTAAATAGGTATAAGGTGACTGGATTTTTCGAGCCAGTCATCTTAGCGTTGTGTCCCCTTTTTAGGTCCCTATTCATCAGCTACTGCAACTGTGCATTGTACAGTCTTAGGCCCGGTCTACAGTGAGATGTTAGTCGTTAGTCAGAAGTCGGAACTATATGTTAATTCTTTCCCAGCGAGAAATGACTCGTCGATCGATGTCGAAACGATGTCGAAGCGACACGAACGCCGTCAAATTGACGTCAATTCGACATCATTTCGACATCGATCGACGAATTATTTCTCACTGCCCTAATAGCACAGTGCATTGGTCCAATATGTGGTTAGGTTTGGAACCAACGTTTGGTTCATGCACTATGCTACTAGAATGGGTTTTCTTTCGCCCAGAAAGAAAAAAGGATTGACATATAGTTCTGAGTTCTGATTAACAACTCACTGTAGACCGGGCCTTAAGCCAACAGCACACGATACTGTTCTTTTTCTACTGGATTGCTTACGAGAGCCAATCAGGATTTAGCCTCAAGTCAACTGATCTAAAACTCTGCATCCTTATAGAAAAAATAGTATAGTGTACCGTTGGCTTTAGATAAAATTATTAGGCATCCTCATAAACATTATACTGAGTCTAATACCAAGAAAGATTTTTATTGTTTAACAGTTGTTTACTGTATAGAAGCAATGAACGATCTAATAAACTTTTAAACAACAGAAATCTTCCTGGCATTAAATTCAATACAGTATAACGATTAGAAGACCAAAAAATTTTGTCTAAGCCTGTATACGGTTAAGGGCTCGGTTCTTTAACGGCAGACAGTAACTCTCTAAAAATCAATTAATGGATTATCGCTGAAAACAGTGAATAGTCACTGCGATTTTCAGTGGTATACTTATAACTGTGAGTCAGTGAGTATTCACTGTTTTCAGTGATAATCCATTGATTGACTTTTAGAGAGAAACTTGAAATGCAGCAAAAAATCCCAATATAGAAGCGATTAACGATCTAGTATAAACTTTTAAACGATAGAACCGCTCTAACCGCTTTAAACGATAGAACTTTTAAGCGATAGAAATCTCTCTGATATTAGATTCAGTATGATTATAAGCCTGTATACGGTTAAGGGCTCAGTTTTTTAACGGCAGACAGTAATCATGAAATAGAGCAAAATAAATCCAAATATGGGTCGAAACGTTGATATTTTTGGTTACAAACATCTTCATTTTGGTTCAAGTAAATTCCATTTATTCAAAAGAAGGAAAAAGGCAAACTTCTCAAACTCCAAAGTTTACAGAAGGTTTTCTACATGTCCTCCCCTCATGTTCAAATTCTTATTAAATTTAAAAATTGTAACCCTTAAAATTTAACTTTAAAACAATATATAAAAGTTATTTTAGGATCCTCCCTATCTGCCCTTGAAGTCCTGAATCCTTATTTTTAACACCCTACGTAGAGGATCAGATTTCTCAATTTAAAATTTGAGACAAGGGACAAAGGAAAAATGTGAAAAAATTCGGGACGCATCGTCACCTTAGCACATACAGCGTGTATTTTAACGCTTCTGATCATCGGAATGTCGTGTGGATCTCGGGAAAAGGAGATTATGAGAATGAAATTACGTATTAGCGCGCCAGGATATTCGCCGTCACGGTCGAGTTTGCGGGCAAAAAGCTCGATTCGAACAAAACCTTGATGGCTGCATTACACGCGACCGGATGTTAATAGACGACAAAACTAGGCTGCGACGAGTGTAACGCGGCGAACGAGCTCGCGTCGCGTCAGGCAAGCCCAAGTTACTTTGCCGACGTCGTAACGAAGATCTCTATTAGTGCTCTGCCCTTCTCTCGCCTTCACCCCTCGCCTTTCGTGCTCCCTCGCTCCTATTGTCTCTCCTTTTCTCTCGACATCATCCTGCTCGTTAAACGGTATTTTACGCACCTGGAATGTAATTAGATCGTAAATTGCGTAATTGCGTCATTATACCTGATGTAAGTTCGATGTCGCGGCTGCGACGGCCCGCATTCTCGTAAATTCAACACAACCCTCGTTCGCAACCGGCAAGATCCGCTTGACGCGGCAGGACCGATCGCTTTTTCCACGCGCGCAAAAGACGCCGGCCGCCATGTTTGCCTGAACGCGGCCGCGCCACCGCGCGCCCGCGGGAGATTTGAATAGCACGTCGACGGGAGGTGAACTCCTCGGGCTAGATATTCTTGAATTATTCGCAAAGGAAACGCGCATACGAGAATTTCACTCTTACGGAAAAGTTACGAGTCGCATGGCTCTTAGCCAATTGATTGGCAAAAAGCTATGCGACTCGCAACTTTTCTGTAAGAGCAGAATTTGCGCATACAATTCTGCTGCGAATAATTCAAGAATCGAGCCCTTGGCGAAACGCCGTTCGCACGCGATCGCGATTGTTACGCGGCCCGGGATGTCGTTTACCCCGCGTGAATGCTCAGGCTAATCGCGTTCTCTCCCCCCCCCCCTCCTTCGCTTTAACAGCCTGAATTGCGATCCTTCTCGCCGTGGCAACGGTTCATCAACCTTCAACGAGTTTTCCTAAAGCCGCCAGGAGCGTTTATTTTTTCAAAATACCGAAATATCGCATACGATATTTCATGACTCTAGAATATTACGTTTAATATTCTGATCATTCATAAAATAACGTATGCGATATTTTTTACGAATTCGGCCCCAGATCACATGTCCGATACCACGGATCATTAATTGGAAATTAGAAATCGACCAATCGAAACTGAGTATTTTAAGATTGGAATGATTTGGTTGCTCGAATTCTCAGTCTTCAATTTGTACTTTAAAGCTGGGGCTTTATTTTCGAAAAATATCGCATACGATATTTTACAAGTCGCTGCAGTATTACGTTTGATAGTCTAATAACATCATGAAATTTGTTTCGAGAATAAAAAATGCGAATAATCACGAATGAACAATCCGCTTCCATAAAAGCGAACGTATTGGCGTACACAACTGAAGAAATAAAATAAAATGCAATTTTCACATCCGTATACGCCTAATTAATAAACTTTTATAAAAAATATATTATATATAACTTTATGTTTTGCATATTTACACAAAATTTGGAGTATGCAATACCGAAAAATTGCTATAATAAATGACTTCTTTTTATACTATTTAAACATGTCTCGTTTAATTATTAATTGTAATAAACGATATGTAAAGGTACACAAAAAAACAATCTTCTTAGTAGAGTACTAACTCTTTAATTTAATTCTCAATTAAATTATATTGTAAACTTTCTTAAAAACAAAATTAATGAATTTAATTTTGAAGTATTAAAAAGGTATAGTTCATTATTATTCTGTTACTTACCTTTAGTAATATTCCAAAGCTTCACCTTCCTGTCACCACCTCCAGTAGCCAATGTTCTATCAGTAGGCGACCATTTAACAGCGTGTACTTCCCCCTCATGGGCACTCTGTAAGGTTTATAAGCACTTGATCTATGAGATTGCTAGACATCTTCCATGCATTCAATCTATTGCATAAATGTTATGTTAATAGAAATTCGATTGCACAATGCGTGACAATATTACATAAATTAAAAACCAATGACCATAAATTATACATAAATTGTATTATTTTTAATCTTTTTTTTACACACAAAGACACTCTCTCTCTCTCTCTCTCTCTCTCTCTCTCTCTCTCTTTCTCACGCACACGTGCACGCACACGCGCACGCATACACAAGCGATTTCACTGACAAACTATTAAAATATGAAAATGCCTCATTATTAAGTTAACTATGAAGTTACACGCCACCTCATACGCTGAAATTTAAAAACTTAAAGCATATATTTTACGAATGCATAAAAGAAAGTTCAACGCTTGTTATATGTTTCTTTTAAATTAGTCAAATTGAAACGTAATCGTTATAAAACATCTTGGATATAATAAATAAAACAGAGATAGAGGTAATGACAGAACTTCTTGCCCAAACTTTGTTAGTTCGAACTGCCTTGCAATAAAGCTTGCAGCAAAATACACTTTGTTAATTTATACATTACACAATGTTTCTCAGATTTTTCAAATTTAATATTTAATGAAGCAGTAATTAATCTGCATGTCATTTTGGATACATATTCTATGTTAGAACATGTGATCCGAGGAAATAAAAATCGCAATATGCATAACATATTCTAACAATGCGAAGAACCATATTATAATTATGTAAATGAAACATTTTAAAAATAAATGCCTCAATACATCAAAACAGAAAAAGATGACAAACCATATTTAGAAGACTGATAATTGATTAAGAATAGGAAAATGGAGAGAACGGGGCTCAGGATCTGGAAATTATGTCGATTGTCTTAATAAAAGCATCTTGTAACGTTTTAAAAATACTTGTACTTAATAGAATCTCGATAAAAATTGTATAACATTATCTTCAATCACATACACACTACATTCTACAAACAATACTGTTTTGCGTAAACGTATCTAAACTTTAAGAGAAACTTAACCAATGTTACTACTCTAATGTTATACCTTATATGTGTAGTGATGTATGTATTTCGATAACATATATTATCATATAAAAAATACATCTCCTAATAACAGATAAACAGAAAATCTGTTCTTTGACACGTATACTTCATCCTTTATTATTGTAAGTTAATATAACTATACGGAGATAAAATTAAGTAATCCTGTTTCAATCTGATTCAGCCTCAATAAATAAATCAATAGACTGTTCTTTTATTGGTAGATCCAAGCATCTCTGTAAACTCATATTTTGAAATTCTACACAAAAATGTCATTCCTCTGGTGTTGAAAAAAGAAACTAGTATGTTCTAATCTAATTTAATATAATATTTTTAAAAAATTAACTAAAGGGATGTTGTTGACATGTCGAATATACATTGCAAAGCATATATGTACAATACACAGCCTTTCTTGTAACAGAAATGTCACAACCACAGCATGTAACGTACACCACTCTTTATGGTGTAACTGGCTGTAAAAAAGAAACAATGATTCCAATATTTAGGGAGCTCCGAGTGTCGAAATAAATCTAAAAAGAGTTTGTCTAGTCGCTTAATTAAAATAAAAATTAAAACGTATGTTAAAAATTAAACAGTATAATTCATCTTATAATTCGTAAATGTAAAATTTATATTGAATATACCCTGTATATTTAATATAAATCCATTGTGTACATACACAAAGCATGCATTCCCGTGTTTTAATGTTATTAGGAATGTCAGATACGGATTGGTGTTAATGCTTTCATGATGATAGCACAATATGATATATCTTAGGTTCAACGTACAAACGTTACGGATACTTTCGTTGGCACTGCTGTCGGAAGACCAGCAACTTCTTTTAAGCTTAAACGATCAGGACTAACAGGTCGCGTATCTCGTGCTGCATCTTCCAATTCCTTTTGCATCTTTGCCTGTCTCTTCCTATAAAGTAATGAGAAACATATACATTAAGTATGTGCGACATAATTAGCATTCGAAGAAAGTTGCAAAGCAACTTGAAGCATATATGTGACAACGTTGATACATTCTGCGATCTCTTTCACACCATTGCCTTAATGGAAAAAGGTGATATCATGTAATCAGTTATTAGAATGAATAATTCATTTTATAATGCATACTTTTTATATTACACAATATTTTTCAAATATGCATTCTATCTTCTTAATGTGTATTCATTTTTTACATCTCTTAAATAGCATTAATTATAAAATATAATATTGTTATACATATAAAGTACTCTAATATTAACAATAAGAAAATTTCAATATTTTTATATACATATTATGAAAAGTAATGCAGATAATGCATCTGGGGATAACAAAATTTTTATCTTTTCAAGTTTGTTTTTATGATTATGCTGTAGTAATTCATTTATTATATCCTTTTCATCTTTCATTTTAATATGAAGAATTAAAGATAAAAATTTATATTGTTTAGTAAATGTATATACATTTTTATATTTCTTTTTGAATGACAAATATAAAAATGTATACAGGCTATACTCTAGTATAAACGCCACCGACAGATAAAGTACATAAACCATGAGATACAAAGTGCAGTATAGTCTGTAGCTTCGTTAAATTACCATCCCAAAGCTTTAGCATTAAGCAGAATGTTCACTACATTTCGTCAAACTTACCCAAATTTTGATAAGGTATGCATCAAAAAGGCTGTTGGGCTCGTAAAACTGAAACGAAAATGTCAAGCAGTGTGAAGTGCTTGTGTATAAAGCCCTAGAGTGACTGAATATTATGTATACTCTGTAAAGCTCAAATTAGATAAGTAATATCTGTAGCTTATGGGCTTGTAAAAGTTCGATTAATATGAAATCTATTATTATGTACAAATTTATATTCAATGCTACTATTTAAAAGATTTCTCTGCTCAATTTTATTATAATCTATACAAGTACAAATAAAAATTAATTTTTTAATCGATAAAAAATTTACTATACAATATAAAATACATATCACAATAATGATAAACAATTTATAGATTTACAGTTGGAATTCTGTAACATGCATTTTAGCTCAGCTTTAATTAACAACGATTTGAATTATGTAAGAACAAACTTGAAAAGATTTATTATACATGTAGGTTAAACTAAAATGAGTTAAAGAGTAATATTTCAAAGCTGAATAAGATTGTATACGTACTCTCGAAAGTAATGTAATAACATCCAACGGTAAAAAAAAAGTAGAGATTCTACAGGAAGGTAGTGTCGAAAAAAAGATAAAGATTTTAGACAGAAGATTATGTTGCAGGGAAAAACTAAAACACCCCTTTATGCAGAACTATACTACATACATAAACATATATACAAATACATAAGAACTAAATCAACTAAAGTGCAGAAAAAATAGGTTAATCCTCAAAAGCTATAACTAAGCAGAAGTACATTTACTATACTACACGTACGGGATTATAAATTAGCGTAAGATCATAAATAGCATGCAAGACTATACATATTTTCCATCATGTTGCATACAAAAATAACCAAGAAAAAAACACACGTGTTCAATCAGAATACTATAATAGCGGAAATGAATACTGCTTTGCTCTTGAATCTATAAGAACAATTTTACAACTACAAAAACACTCGTGCAATAATGTTAGATTTTAATGTTGCAAATCAGGATTCATTACTTTATACTTTTTGCAAGTTAATTACATCATTAATAATAAGAGAAAAGGCGATACAAACAATTCTTGTTTGCCTTCTGAACTTACGATACACATTGTTGCTTCATATATGCACACTTACCTTAAAAAGTTATCATTTTCTTCATTCATCTTTTCCGCGTCTCTGGCTTTATATTTTATTAAGCGCTCGATCAGCTGTCGATTTTCTTCCTACAAATTCATAAATTTAAGATAAATATTAAACAGTAAACAATAGAAGCAAATAAATATCTACAAGAAGTTATACAATTTCTTTTAACAATATACAACAAATATACATATATGTGAGTATATAAATATTTAGAAGAAGAAAAGAACCAAAACTTTACACACCTGTGTTTTCCTAAGCTTTTCTTCTAAAGATGCAAAAGCAAGTTGTAAGGCTTGATGTTCATCCTTGAGCATCTGATTAATACCTTCTATATCTTTCTCTCTACCAAGGCATTTAGTTACTTCTAAACGTAAGTTAGTATTAGCTTCCGAACTTTCTGCGAGGCTGGAAAAGAACAAACGGATCGATTAGAAAATCTTATAAATTTGTGAAAATTACTAATTTACAAAGTAGTAAAAAATATATATATCTGATTATGATTATAAGTTACCTAGCTTCCTTTGCTTGCAGTTCTTTTGTCATTTCCTGCAATTTATTATTAAGATCTACTATTTGTTGCGTATGCTCCCCTTTCCTCTTGTGTAGCATTGCCAATTCCTCCGCTTGCTTCAACAGTCTACCTTCAAGGTCGGAGTTTCCACCTATGCCAATGCTACCATTGGCTACTTCACGACGGAGAGTCTCGTTTGCAATTGTCAACTGCATATTTGTGTTTCGCAGTGTATTTGCATTTTCAAATAATCTATTGTCTGCAAAATATAACAACTCTGTTAAAGTAATTTATATAAAGGGATTGAAGTAAACGGCACTATCAGCTAACAGAACCAGTAGAACCATTAGAACCGACAAACTAACAAGATAATACGCCAACAAACGGATACTTTTTATAAAAGATGAGACAAGTAGGAAAGGTATTAACGAATGAGACGCGTAATCAGACGACGTTGTAACAACGAGCTGTAAATAAAAACGGATCAAGTAGGACATATGGTAAACAACAGCTACGTAGGAGTGGCCCTCCGTCCAAAATTCAATGGTATCGCATTGACACTGGCGCACGATCGATCTAGCTTAATAAAGCCGCGGGAAAACTTACGTAGGCTAATGAGATCCGCGAAGCAACTGGTCTGCGATCTGTTCCTTTCGCGTAGCTGCGAAATTATATCTTTCCGCCAGTTGACGTCCTCCCGGGTGACGCCGAGCAATACGCCCACCTCGCTCGAGGTCATCTCTCTCGGGCTGATTGTGCACGTGCACCACGTCGAGACAGGCCAGCGACGATTTAACCTTAACCGGGATCGCTCTGACGAGGGGCGTCGCGAATAATGCTCCTCGACAGTCCGTCACACCATGACAGTCCTCCGGCACGTGCGACAGGTAACCTCGTACGGTGAAGTTACGTTCGATCGTCGGCCAACGTGTAATGTCCGAATGTCTCGCAGCGGTCGCGCGACATCGTCCCGCATCAGCGCGAAATACCTTTAATTGCGAAAACAGCTATTCTAACCTAAACGTACATACTCAAAACACTACGCTCCTACTTTGAAATTGTTTGCTATCGCTGCGCGCATCGATACTGCGCCATCAGATCGACGTGGCGCTCTTGCGATATATCGATACACCGAGATACACATGAGATCGACATAATTTGTTCAAATTATGGGTTTGTTTTCTGTTCCTGCACTGGTGAACTAGTGCAGTAAGCTAGAATGAGAAAAAATATGCTTGTCTTACTCCAATTTATTGCACTAGTGTAGGAACAGAAAACAAGCCTTATGTGTTAAGCCTATCCCACAATGACCAATCACAGTAAAGTTTAATGATCTCAAGATTAATAACTTTTACTCTAATTGGCCAATCTAACCTCAATCTCAATCCGTGGTCTAGTACGGGCTTTCCGTATATACTTTCCTTAAGCATTGACCTAGTTTACATCGTGCACTTGATACGCGTATCAAATAGTAACAAATAGTAAATAACTAGTAAATTCGTTTGGTCATTGGCTGATCAGTTCAAATACACTATTTGATACGCGTATCAAGTGCACGATGTAAACTAGGCCATTGTGTCCACGATTCAAGAACTATGTCCAAGTTCTAGTTCCGAGAAACGCGTAGCCAATCACCTTGCAGCTTTTATGGAATAGCTGCAGGTTGATTGGCTACACATTTCTCGAAACTAAAACTTGGACCAAGTTCTTGGATCGTGGACACAAGGCTTAAGACCACTTTAACCAACTCCGATTAACTTTACCCCTGGTCCACAATCTTGCTTTAAGTAAGCTGTAAGCCTCAAGCCGTAAGAAATGAGCCAATCACGGGCATTTATTACCCTCACTCTCACCTGTGGTTAATTTCTTACGGCTTAAAGTTTACAGCTTACTTAAAGCAAGATTGTGGACCAGGGGTTACAATGGTGTTTCAATTATTGAAAATTTTTGTGTATGTAAATTTTATGTGTTACAATACATAAACCATTGCAATAGCATATTCCTGA